GAGTATAACACCGAGCATGTCTCCGGAAGCACACATCAACGAGATAACTGCTGCAGCATATGGGCGCCTGGCAAACCTGAGAACAGCATTCCGATACCTTAGTAAGGAATCGTTCAAGACACTGTACACCATGTATGTCAGGCCCATACTGGAGTATGCAGCACCTGTTTGGAACCCCCACTTGATAAAGCATGTCAAGAAACTAGAGAAAGTACAAAGGTTTGCGACAAGGTTAGTTCCAGAGCTAAGGGGAATGCCCTATGAAGAATGATTAAGGGAAATCGGCCTGACGACACTGGAGGACAGGAGGGTCAGGGGAGACATGATAACGACATATAAAATACTGCGCAGAATAGACAAGGTGGACAAAGACAGGATGTTCCAGGGAGGGGACACAGAAACAAGAGGCCACAATTGGAAGTTGAAGACACAGATGAGTCAGAGAGATATTAGGAAGTATTTCTTCAGTCATAGAGTTGTCAGGCAGTGGAATAGCCTAGAAAGTGATGTAGTGGAGGCAGGAACCATACACAGTTTTAAGACGAGGTTTGATAAAGCTCATGGAGCGGGGAGAGAGAGAGAGGGCCCAGTAGCAACCGGTGAAGAGGCGGGGCCAGGAGCTAAGACTCGACCCCTGCAACCACAAATAGGTGAGTACACACACACACACACGTATATGCAGGACAAGCAACTGGGGGGTGGAAATCTTTAGCTCAAGTACCTTCACACTTTTGGTGCATCATCAGAAGCTGTTCAATGTTGCAAAGGAGCAACCAAAGCAGGGAGAGGTCTCAGATTAGCGTAGGTGTCATTGGCCACGGTTACCCTTAGACAGAGTTAAGGGTAACCATGGTCGGTGACACCTACACTACTCTGAGACCTCTCTTCCTGCTTTGGTTGCTCCCTTGCAACATAGCACAGCTCCTGATGATGTACTGAGAAGTGTGAAAGTACTTGAGCTAAGATTTCCACCCTCCTCCTCTGTGGCTTGTCCTGCATAGTTAAGATCGCCCATCTGCGATTGTTTGCAACACACACACACACACACACACACACACACACACACACACACACACACACACACAACACACACACACACACACACACACACATACACATGTATATATATTTTTTTAACAAGTTGGCCGTCTCCCACCGAGGCAGGGTGACCCAAAAAGAAAGAAAATCCCCCAAAAATAAATACTTTCATCAACATTCAACACTTTCACCTCACTCATACATAATCACTGTTTTTACAGAGATGCCCAGAACACAACAGTTTAGAAGCATATACATATAAAGATACACAACATATCCCTCCAAACTGCCAATATCCCAAACCCCTCCTTTAAAGTGCAGGCATTGTACTTCCCATTTCCAGGACTCAAGTCCGGGTATATAAAAATAATCGGTTTTCTTGAATCCCTTCACTAAATATTACCCTGCTCATGCTCCAATAGCTCGTCAGGTCCCAAAAACCATTCGACTCCATTCACTCATATCTAACACGCTCGTGCACGCTTGCTGGAAGTCCATGTCTCTCGCCCACAAAATCTCCTTTACCCCCTCCCTCCAACCTTTTTGAGGATTACTCCTACCCTACCTTCCTTCCCCTACAGATTTATACACTCTCCATGTCATTCTACTTTTCATCCATTCTCTCTAAATAATCATACCACTTCAACAACCCCTCTTCAGCCCTCTGACTAATACTTTTATTAACTCCACACCTCCTAATTTCCACACTTCAAATTCTCTGCATAATATTTACACCACACATTGCCCTTAGACAGGACATCTCCACTGCCTCCAACTGCCTCCTCACTGCAGCATTTACAAACCAAGCTTCACACCCATAAAAGAGTGTTGGTACCACTATACCTTCGTACATTCCCTTATTTGCCTCCATTGACAATATTTTTTTTCTCCACATATACCTCAATGCACCACTCACCTTTTTTCCCTCATCAATTCTATGGTTAACTTAATCGTTCATAAACCCATCTGCTGACACATCAACTCCCAAATATCTGAAAACATTCTCTTCTTCCATACCCCTTCTCTCCAATGTGATGCCCAATTTTTCTTTATCTAAATCATTTGCTATCCCTAATCATCTTACTCTTATCTATGTTCACTTTCAGCTTTCTACCTTGACACACCCTCCCAAACTCGTCCACTGACCTTTGCAACTTTTCTTCAGAGTCTCCCATAAGCACAGTATCATCAGCAAAAAGTAATTGTGCCATTTCCCATTTTGTACTTGATTCCCCATAATTTAATCCCACCCCTCTCCCCAACACCCTAGCATTTACTTCTTTTACAACTCTATCTATAAATATATTAAACACCCATGGTGACATTACACATCCCTGTCTAAAACCTACTTTTACCAGGAAGTAATCTCCCTCTCTCCTATACACCCTAACCAGTGCCTCACTATCCTCATAAAAACTCTTTACAACATTTAGTAACTTACTACCTATTCCATACAACTGCAACATCTACCACATTGCTCCCCTATCTACTCTGTCATATGCCTTCTCTAAATCCATAAATGCAATGAAAGCTTCCCTACTTTTATCTAAATACTGTTCACATATATGCTTCAGTGTAAACACGATCTACACATCCCCTACCCACTCTAAAGCCTCCTAGCTCATCTGCAATCCTACTCTCTGTCTTACCTTTAATTCTTTCAGTAATAACCCTATGTACACTTTACCTGGTATACTCAGTAAACTTATTCCCCTATAAATTTTACAATCTCTTTTATCCCCCTTCCCTTTAGATGAAGGAACTATACATGCTCTCTGCCAATCCCTAGGTACCTTCCCCCCTTTCATACATTTATTAAACAAAAATACCAACCACTCCAACACTATATCTCCCCCATACTTTTAACATTTCTGTCATGATCCCATCAGTTCCAGCTGCTTTACCCCCTTCATTCTACGTAATGCCTCATGCACCTCCCCCACACTTACATCCTGCTCTTGTTCACTCCTAAAAGATGTTATACCTCCCTGGCCAGTGCATGAAATTACCGCCTCCCTTTCTTCATCAACATTCAAAAGTTCCTCAAAATATTCCTACCATCTACCCAATGCCTCCAGTTCCCCATCAACTAACTCCCCTACTCTGTTTTTAACTGACAAATCCATTCGTTCCCTAGGCTTTCTTAACTTGTTTATCTCTCTCCAAAGTTTTTTGTTATTTTCAGCAAAATTTCTTGTCACTGCCTCTCCTACTCTATCATCTGCTCTCCTTTTGCACTCTCTCACCACTCTCTTCACCTTTCTTGTACTCTCCATATATTCTACTCTTCTTATAACTTCTGCTTTGTAAAAACCTCTCATAAGCTACCTTTTTCTCTTTCATCACACCCTTTACTTCATCATTCCACCAATCACTCCTCTTTCGTCCTTCACCTACCCTCCTATAGTCGCAAACTTCTGTCCCACATTCTAATACTGCATTTTTAAAACTATTCCAACCCTCTTCAACCCCCCCACTACTCATACTTGCACCAGCTCACCATTCTGCCAATTGTTGCTTATATCTCAACCTAACTTCCTCCTCCTCTTACTTGTTGTCATTTTCCTTTTGTCCCATCTACCTTTACTAAAACTGTAGCTACAACTAGATAATGATCTGATATATCCGTTGCTGCTCTATAAGCATGTACATCTTGAAGTCTACCCATCAACCTTTTATCCACCAATACATAATGTAACAAACTACTTTCATTATGTGCTATATCATATCTTGTATACTTGTTAATTTTTGTTCATAAAATATATATATTACTTATTACCAGACCTCTTTCTACACATAGTTCAATTAAAGGCTCTCCATTTTCATTGACCCCTAGCACCCAAAATGTACCTACTACTGCCTCTACAACATTTTTACCCACATTAGGATTGAGATCCCCAACTACTTGGTTTAAAGCTCTTCATGCACTCACTCAACATTTCTTAAAAATCTCTCTCTCTCCTCTACACTTCTTTCTTCTCCAGGTGCATAAACACTTACTATAACCCACTTTTCACATCCAACCCTTATCTGATTTCACATAATCCTTGAATTTATTCATTTATATTCCTTCTTTTCCTGCCATAACTTATCCTTCAACATTATTGTTACTCCTTCCTTAGCTTTTGTTCTACTAGAAACCCATGTAGGTTTGACAAAGTTTGACAAGGTTAGGTTAAGGATTCCTAGCTTTGTTGACAAGCTATTTACAGGTTAATGATTCCTAACTTTAGTGACAAGGTAAGAGCTGTTACCTACATCAGCTCATTTGAAAGCATTTTTATTGTCATGAGACATACAAGTAAGGAACAGGATGAAGTTGGAGCCATCTGTGGGCCAGTATTTTCTTCTGATCAGCTGACTTTATCTCGTTGACATCATAAGGCTGTACGAATGTGTTCCAGACTCGAGTCATCCTGGGGATAAATGATCTCAGATGAAGTGATGTTCTGGAGAAGGGTACAGCCAGAGTGAAGTTGCTGCTTTCTGCCCGTCTTGTGGTATAAAAACTTGCTTCATGCTGTCCTCGAAGTGGATCCAAGTGTGGTACTTTGACAATATTTCTCTCTACTAAAACTCTCTTATCCCCTTCAGCTTTGTTTCACTTAGAGCTATGACATCCAGATTTGTTTCATTCATAACATCCACAATCATCTCTTTCTTATCATTCACACAACATCCAAGCACATTCAAACATTCCACTTCGATGGTTTTCTTCTTTTTCTTTTTAGTAGGCTATACGGTAAAAGGGGTTACTAGCCCATTGCACTTGGCATTTTAGTTGACTTTTACCAAGGAAAGATTCTTATTCCGCTTCCCCATATATTTTTTTTAACACATCAGCTGAATATGTATATAAATACTTATAATAATTGCTAAATATTTAATTCTAAAACTAAAACATTAGTAATTACTGATTATATGCAGTACAAAAAAAAGTAATAATAATTACTGTTCATTAGCTGAAGTGAGCACCACACCAACTCCTGCTGTGTTAACCACACAACCACCACCACCTTACTGCTCTGCATGCCCAGCTCTCCCAGAGGAGTATTATGACATCTGCTATCCATGTTCTCATGGAGAATATTTTGATGGACAATCCTGTGTACCAAAAGTTTTATGCCCGTGTTTTAAAGATGGTATCAGGTGAGAGTGAGGTTATTTTGTAATATTTATGCTTGGTAATATTCAAATTATTACTGGTTTATGTCAAAACCTACCAACTGTGCTTCTAAAGAGTGCTACAATATATTCTCCTTCTGTAGGTATGATTTTGGTTCAATATTTGAGACCACTGATTGTGAAGAATGTGAATGTGTAATGGGAGGAGAAGCAGAGTGCATCAAGAAGGAATGTCCACCATGTGCAGATGTAAGTATTAAATTCTTTTATGTTAATGTTTGCATGCATGTCATAACAGGTGACTACAATGCTAGGAGGGAGGGGCTAGTAACCCCTTCTCCTATATAAATTACTAAATGCAAAAAGAAGAAAAACTTTATGAAAGTATTTTTTCTTTTTTGGGTCACCCTGCCTCAGTGGGAGATGGCTGGTGTTTTTAACCCGTAAACAGTCCAAACGTATATATACATTTTTACCGCTAGTGCCCCAAACGTATATATACGTTTTATTTTTCCTGCCTTCAAATTTGGCACGATTGGCCAGAGATGCCTTGTCAGCATAGAATGGGTCCTAACACTCAGTGTGCGCAGTATTAAAAAAATCAGGGACCACTTAGTACCTTGCGGGAGCACCAGTTCAAATGAGCGCCAGCTAGAGCAAACAGCGCAGCAAACACCTGGGATTCACTGATGTCATGTAGTATTAACACTCCCATTTTAAGAGGAAAATGATTTTGACCCTGAGTTTAGTGGCTTTGAGGTGGATGTGGCCACAAGTGGTCGAGGAAATATAAAAAAAAAAAAACGAAAATAACCCATGTGCAATATTTGTGCAACACCCTTTCAGAATGTCTTGGCTGACAGGCTGGCTGGCTGGCTGGCTGGCTGGCTGGCTGGCTGGCAGGCTGGCAGGCTGGCTGGTTGGCAGGCTGGCTGACTGGCTACTTGGCTGGATGACTGGCTGACTGATTGGCTGGCTAGCTGGCTGGCTAACTGGCTGGCTAGCTGGCTGGCCAGCTGGCTGGCCGGCTGCTGGCAGCCTGGCTCTATCTCCGTTTGTCTGTCTGTATCTATGTCTATCTCTGTCTCTCTGTCTCTAGCTCTGTCTATCTTTGTCTCTATCTGTTTCTGTCTCTGTCTGTCTGTCTCTGTCTCACAGGTACACATAAATACATGTATACATAGTGTAAATTGCCTAGGATAACCCAAAAAATCCAGACAAAGTGCTATACTCTGCTTGAAGATGTGAGTAAAGGTGATGACGCAGTCTTGTGGCTCTCTCTGAGACAGAGAGCTAGACGGATAGACAGATAAACAGGGAGCTTGACATACAGACAAATAGACAGACATGTTTGTGTACCAGCGAAAACAAAGGAGGGTGATGGTCATCAGACGTCACCTCTAATCTTCTGTTATCTGCTGCACCCTCCCCCACCCTCGTGTATGCTCATCAAACGTTAGCTCTGATCAGATGTTATCTCATCTTATCATGTCACTGTCAGGGGTGGACTTTGTTTTTTATGCTTCAAGGCAACTTATTATTTTATTATTATTATGTATTTTCCTCCTCCTCCTCCTCCTCCTCCTCCTCCTCCTCCTCCTCCTCCTCCTCCTCCTCCTCCTCCTCCTCCTCCTCATTGTTATTATTATTATTATTATATACTTCCACATATCCAAAACATTACTGGGACATATAAATACTTTGTATATATTCCAAGACAATAGTAAATGGCCAAGGCACCTGTCAATGTGTTTGTGACAATGTGATTACAATTTCAGTACCTAATACTAGTGTCAGAACAAAGATTGGTTATGAAATGACAAGAACGACAATAAATTGTAATTATTATCAGATCATGAAAATTATATAAAAAATATGAAAATAGAAAAAAAGGTATATCAGCAACACTTTTGCAAGCGGCAATGCTCCATGTTGCCGTCAGGTGATCCCCAAGTGCCAACTTTGTGGCCTCATATCTCGGTAAGTACTGACTCTGAATTTTTTTTTTATCCTATAACATTTATTATCCTATAACACTTATAACTATATTTTCATATAGTCGGACTTGAGTCCTGGAAATGGGAAGTACAATGCCTGCACTTTAAAGGAGGGGTTTGGGATATTGGCAGTTTGGAGGGATATGTTGTGTATCTTTATACGTATATGCTTCTAAACTGTTGTATTCTGAGCACCTCTGCAAAAACAGTGATAATGTGCGAGTGTGGTGAAAGTGTTGAATGATGATGAAAGTATTTTCTTTTTGGGGATTTTCTTTCTTTTTTTTGGGTCACCCTGCCTCGGTGGGAGACGGCCGACTTGTTGAAAAAAAAAAAAAAAAAAAAAATTAGAAAAATGTGCTCTTTTTTTTTCAATAAAAAAAAAAAAACAGATTTTTTTATTTTTCAAAATATTCGGGGCACTGGGGTAGTGAACGTATATATACGTTTTTACCATTTACAGGTTAAAATAAGTATGTATGCTGTATATAAACAGAGTCAGTATCTGCCTAATGAAAGGTTTGTGTTCAAAATACTTTATGTAAATATACAAATTACAGTATTCATAAACTTTCTTGATGTACATTGAGATATGTTCCAAGGAAGAAAATTTGCCAATAAAACTAAGAATAAGAGAAATTAAGGAGAAAGCACCAAGGTCTAAATATACGTTTGAAATTAGTTGGATATACTGAAATAATATACTGTATGTACATTAATTCGTAGGGTGAGTGGCACAGCAGGCTGTTTGATACTGATTTTGCCCCTTCTTGCTTCTACATAAATCACTTGTGTTCACTTAAAATATAAAGGAAATTAATAATCATCTTTTAAAAGTCACACTTTTAGAGTTGCTGTATTAATTTAGAAACACTAAAGCCTTCAGTTTCTTTGATTCATCATAATATTGGGTAAAATGTTGTACAGTATTTCATTTGTAAATATGATTATTCTGTCATCTGTTTTCTCTAAAAAAATTATGTTATTTCAGGATGAACAAGCTGTGGTAACTCCTCTCTGTGCATGTGTATGTAAACCATGTCCTCTGGGAAGCAAACTCTGCCCATCTAGCAATTATTGCTTAAATGAGTCATCTTGGTGCAATGGTGTTGAAGAGTGTCCAGATGATGAGATTAATTGTCCAACTACAACTCCAGGTAAATTAGTATATTTGTATTTCTTAAAGATAAATAAGTCACACACAGATATGGAAAATACAATATGTAGGCAGAATAAGGCAAACTGTGACAATAGATGACGATGTTTTTTTTAACCCTTTCACTCTCGAGACTCCTGCTCACAAACTTGCTTTCAGTGCTGAAGAATTAAAAAAAAAAAAATTATTTTTTCTTATAAAATGATAGTTTTTTCCCGATGGTAATGGCACCAAAAGTGCGAAATTTGATGGAAAACTTAAGGAATTACGCTCTCGTGTATATGTCTTAGCGACATGCGCACTTTTGATTTCAACCACTTTGAGCCCTGTTTTTGGCTAATTCCATTGTTCCAGTCGCCCAAACTCATAGCAATTTCGCTAGAACTCCATTTGTTCTATCAGCTGAGTAGAAGAAACCACCCATTTACCGATTTCAACTACCCAATAAAGTGGGCAGAAATTGGCAATTTGGCCAATTTCACACAAGTTTCAAGAGATGCCAGTTTCAAAATAGGGTTCAGAATAAAAAATGCAGACATTCCTGGCACTAAAATAGCTTTTTCTCTGTGTATTAGTCATGTCTTCAGGCCCCTCCTATATTACTCTTGCTTTCCATTTTGAATTTTTATTCGTTCAAAAAATAGAAGATTATTACAATAATGCTGACTACTACATTATTGTAATAATTGTATAAATAATGTCAACCCATTCATGACTGCGTATCAGACTGGCTAGTTGGACACGTATTGGATGGTGACATCATTTGTTTACTCTTGAACATCAGCAAAAATTTAACATTTCTGCTATTTTGAGCTCAATTTCAAGGTACTTTTCATTGTGAAACCAGTCAAATTCATCTCTATTTCTGTAATATATCTTCCATTCTATCAAATGTGTCCAAGAAAATGAGAATACAACCATAAATACCACACGAGAATACACCTCAAAGTCGGCATTTTAATCCAAAAACATAGCAGAGTTTTTTTTTTCTCATTGTGCACTGCATGCTGCAGGATTTTTTTATACTGCACACACTGACCACACAGACCCATTCTCTCACATGTAGGTCAACCAGCTTGCTCCCGCTAGATTTGAAGCTGCTAGAATTTTCGCATATTAATACATCACTGACACTGGCTTGTAAGCCATATCTATCTGTCACTGACAGTGAAAGGGTTAAAGAATGATGTGAATGGAAAATTATCATCATTGAACAGTGTCTTTCATGATATCTCAAAAGGATCAGTACTATACTAATCACTATAATTTTTCTAATTGATATAGTAGAGTACTGTTAATGGCTTGCTAGATGGAGTGCCAAATAACTGCTGTATGCCAGATCAGTATATTTGCACATGGTGCAAGTGGATTTTTTCCTCATGTAAATTAGAAAATTAAAACGGCTTAAATTATAGGAGATTTATGTACAGTGCTCTGAGATAATGTAATGATAAATGGAGGATGGCAATTAATGTAGATGAAAACTGATGCCAGTAAAATTTGACCCATTGAAGAATACATATATCTATTAAAAGTATACTTTCACTCATATGTACATACGTATATAGTACAATGCTGCTAACGTACAGTACACTGCCATGCATGTGTACATGCACAGCATGGTCACTAGAACTGACAGAGGTCAGTTCAACTTTGTTCATGTTGCTTATATTTTGTCCATGAAATATTATGTACTATATTTATGAAGACGCTCTAAATTTACATTGAGAGCTTGAATGGATCAAGAGCACTTCACCAGCATCAGCTGATAGTTTAGTTATAACTCTTAATTTAAGTACCTTCTGTCTTTGTATTACATCTTACAAATTTTCTACTAGAAATTCCTGATGTGTGTCCAACACCATACTGCCCTGATCACTGGATAAGAAAGGTGCGACTGACCAAGGGTTTGTGTCCTGCCATTGTTTGTGAACCACCAGAGATCACCACACAACTACCGTGTCCTATCCCACACTGTCCACCTCGCTATAACATTGTACTTGTTCCAAATGAGGTATGTAACTCCAGTATACCTAATTATTTTTTATAGGAAATTCGATGTATTATATATTAACCCCTTGACTGTCACAACCCCCAATCCTGAAGTGTCTCCTGGTGTCGCAAAATTTAAAAAAAAAAAAAAAAAAAAAAAATTTCTTATGAAATGATAGAGAATATTTTCCCAATTGTAATGACACCAAAAACACAAAATTTGATGGAAAACTGACGGAATTACGCTCTCGCGAAGTTAGCGACCTCGGCGATATTTACAAATCGGCGATTTCGCCCAATTTGAGCCCTATTTTCGACTAATTCCATTGTTCCAGTCGACCATACTCATAGCTATTTCTTTAGAACTCCATTTTTTCTATCGATTGAGTACAAGAAACTGCCCATTTATCGATTTCAACTACACAATAACATGGTCAGAAATGTGCAATTTGGCCAATTTCACGAAAATTAAAAAATATGACAATTTCAAAATAAGGTCCAGAATGAACAATGCAGACATTCCTGGCTCTAAAATAACATTTTCTTTCTTCATCAGTCATGTCTCCAAGCCCCTCTGATATTACTCTTGCTTTCTATTTTGAATTTTTATTCAAACAAAAAATAGAAGATTTACTGTTATGCAGACTACTGCAATACTGTAATACGTAATTGTATAAATAACATCAACCCATTCATGACTGCATATTAGAATGGCTAGTTGGACATTTATTGGACAATGACATCATCTGTTTACTTTTGGACATCGGCAAAAATCAAACATTTCCCCTACTTTGAGGTCCATTTCCAGGTTCTTTTTATAGTAAAATCAATCAAAATCACCGCTATTTCTATAATATGTTTTCCATTCTATCAAATGAGACCAAGAAAACGAGAATACAACCATAAATACTATACGAAAATATAGACCACAAAATCGGCATTTTAATTAAAAAAACGGTCAGAGTTTTTTTTCTCATTATGCACTGCATGCTCCAGGATTTTTTTTATATGGTGCACACTGACTACCCAGACCCATTCTCTCACATGTGGGCCTACCAGCTTTCTCCTGCTTGATTTGAAGCCGCTAGAATTTATGAGTATATATACGTCAAACACGGTGCCTCGTAAGACGTATATATACGACCTCGACAGTCAAAGGGTTAACATGATACATTTCATTAAATCCACATTTTCTTGTAATCCTTGTACGTTAGAAGCTGTTCTTTGACAATTTGGTTGCAGATTCACTCGTAGGTGATTTATTTCCTACTTCAACTGAAGCATCACTCTTCTGTCCATTCTTTCTGCTGATGTTCTTTCCTCAGCACCTTCACTTCTTCTTCAGTAACACCTTTGTCATGTCCTTCCCTCAACATCACCTTCCCCTCACTAACAGCTCTGTCATATCCTTCCCTCAGCACCACCTCTCCCTGACTGATGCCTCTGTCATGTCCTTCCATCAGTATCTCTACCTCTCCCCACTAACACCTCTGTCATGTCCTTCCCTCAGCACTTCCACCTGTCCCTCAATAACACTTCTCTCATCTTTGTTATGTAATGCTGTATCACCCTGACAGGTTCAGTATTTTTCATGACTATAATAAAATTGTAATGATACTCTGACAGTTTGATGAAGTGTGTCCTACGTACGAGTGCATTCCTCCTGGCACAACAGAGGAGCCTCCTACATGTGCTCCTCCAAATTGTCCAGAGGGCTATGTTGTCCAGGAACCAGAGTACAGCTATGAATTTTCTCAACAAACCAGTGATGATGTATGTACTCAGTACCAGTGTGTCACAGCAGCACCACCCACAGCCCCCTGCCCATCTCCTAGCTGTCCACAGGGATATGAGATTTTCTTTGCCGAAGCAGAGGCACTCTTGGAATTATGCCCTCAGGTAAATAACTATGTAATGATAAGAGACTATACAGATTTTTAAAGTGTTTTGGGAATAATACTAATATAATTTAAAAATACATCCCACTCTACTGTATATTGATATAAAGTGGAAATCTTAAGATATTATGTTTGCATTCAGTATTGTCTAACGTGTACTGATATACTTCATGAACAAGAAAAAAATTTGTTACCTGTAATATAAGTGTTTTATGTGATACCTCTCTTTGCGCAGTTTGATTGTGTTCCAGTCATGACGACTACAATGTGTCCTCCAGTGGAATGTCCATCTGATCTCCGCATCATGTACATCCAGAGCTCAGAGATGTCAGCATGCCCACAGTATACATGTGTTCAAGTTACTACACCTTTCCCTGTCACTACACCTCAACCTGAACTTTCCACATGTGCTAAAGTAAGTTGAGGAGAATTAAAGTGTAGCATACAAAGAACTTTTATTTTTTTATTTTTTTTTTTTTTTTTCAACAAGTTGGTCGTCTCCCACCGAGGCAGGGTGACCCAAAAAAGAAAGAAAATCCCCAAAAAGAAAATACTTTCATCATCATTCAACACTTTCACCACACTCACACATTATCACTGTTTTTGCAGAGGTGCTCAGAATACAACAGTTTAGAAGCATATACGTATAAAGATACACAACATATCCCTCCAAACTGCCAATATCCCAAACCCCTCCTTTAAAGTGCAGAACTTTTATATAGAAATTATATTATTATTTACTTTGTTTATTTGTATAGTACACCTACCATCCGACTTACGACCGAGTTCGGTTCCGAGAAACTGGTCATAAGTCGAAATGGTCGTAAGTCGAACTTTACTACTGAATATCAACAAAACATTTTTGTAATGACTTTATTTTATTGTTTTATTTTGGTATTTCATGTTTTACTCTACTTTTTATGTTGTTAGTACTGTATTTTATACTGTAAGGTTTAGGATAAACACTGTGTACAACACAAATAGTTGTTTATTTCCCAGAAATTTGGCATAAAAAACACAGTCGTAAGTCGAGTGGTCGTAAGTCGAGCAGGTCGTAAGTCGGATGGTAGGTGTATTTAATGTATATTTTACTATTTATTTAAGATAGAAAGTTCAAAGTGAACATAGAAAAGAGTAAGGTGATGAGGGTATCAAATTATTTAGATAAAGAAAATTTGGATATCAAATTGGAGAGGAGTATGGAAGAAGTGAATGTTCCAGATATTTGGGAGTTGACGTGTCAGCGGATGGATTTATGAAGGATGAGGTTAACCATAGAATTGATGAAGGAAAAAAGGTGAGTGGTGCATTGAGGTATAAGTGGAGACAAAAAATATTATCTATGGAGGCAAAGAAGGGAATGTATGAAAGTATAGTGGTACCAACACTCTTATATGGGTATGAAGCTTGGGTTGTAAATGCTGCAGCAAGGAGATGGTAAAAGGCAATGGAGATGTCCTGTGTAAGGGTAATGTGTGGTGTAAATATTATGCAGAAAATTCGGAGTGTGGAAATTAGGAGAAGGTGTGAAGTTAATAAAGTATTAGTCTGAAGAGGGGTTGTTGAGGTGGTTTGGTCATTTAGAGAGACTGGATCAAAGTAGAATGACATAGAGAGCGTATAAATCTGTAGGGGAAGGAAGGCGGGGTAGGGGTCGTCCTCGAAAAGGTTGGAGGGAGGGGGTAAAGGACATTTTGTGGGTGAGTGGGCTTGGACTTCCAGCAAGTATGCATGAGCGTGTTAGATAGGAGTGAATGGAGACGAATGGTATTTGGGACCTGACGAGCTGTTGGAGTGTGAGCAGGGTAATATTTAGTGAAGGGATTCAGGGAAACTGGTTATTTTTATATAGCCGGACTTGAGTCCTGGAAATGGGAAGTACAATGCCTGCACTTTAAAAGAGGGGTTTGGGATATTGGCAGTTTGGAGGAATATGTTGTGTATCTTTATATGTATATGCTTCTAAACTGTTGTATTCTGAGCACCTCTGCAAAAACAGTGATTATGTGTGAGTGAGGTGAAAGTGTTGAATGATAATGAAAGTATTTTCTTTTTGGGGATTTTCTTTCTTTTTGGGTCACCCTGCCTCGGTGGGAGACGGCTGACTTGTTAAAAATAAAAATATTTTCTGAAATAAGATAATATTTTTACAAGTTTCTGTGTTTTTTTTACATAAAAATAATAAGACAAATTTTATAGGAAAATCTGCAGAACTGGGCAAGAATGATATAAGCTGCCCTGAATGGCCTAGTATCACTGAAATTATAATATCTTATAACTTACTGCCTGATTTCTATATGTACATATTTACCTGTTTATCAGTAAATATTTTTGGGTAGGCTATGTGAGCTGAGCTATACTTGTGGTCTCCCTTTATCTTCATATATTTTATTCTATGGTGAAAGTGTTGAACAATGATGAAAGTTTTTTCCTTTCTTTTTGGGTCATTCTGCCTCAGTGGGTAATGGCTGACATGTTAAGAAAAAATTATCCTAAATATTTTGGACATTTCCACTAATTTTTTGTACGTACAGTTCTCTCTCTTCTTAGAAAACCTTCCATTCACTTTCTGTGCCATTTCTGTAATTTGAAATTGGGAGCCCTTATTCACCTTTTTACTACTTTAAAACTTTTCTTGCACAAGTCTCTCCTCCCCCTTTCTTACACTCTTTCATTTAATAGAGATTCTTCTACTATATTTCTCAACTGAAACAATTTGTTATTACTACATCATCTCAAACACTTTCCCCTCACTCTTACTATTGTATTTCCCTCAATGCCATTCTTTCTCTCTCTCTATTCTTCATACAACAGTGAACTATCCACACTGTCTTAGAGCTTCCTATGTTCCCAAGAATATTACAATAATAATAAAAACAAAATATTTCTTATCATTCACTGTGGACACTTCCAGTACTTTCAGTTTTCCTTGTAAGTCTTGACTCTGGTATCTATGTTGTCTGGCATTGCACTTTTTCTCTAATGTTAGTTATGTTGCCAGGAGTTTACCATACTACAGCTGCATCTTCCACTTTAGAGTTCAGGTTCATGGTGGTGTCCTGTTTTCCTTTGCAGACGTATCATATTGAAACTCAAGTTTTCCATATTTTTTGCACTCAGATAAAATCTGCTCATATCACAATAGAGTGCATGTGCCCTTTCCTTGAAAGTGTTTTGTGTTTCTTTTTTTCTGGGTATGCAGTATTTATATTATTAGAGTATTTATTTATATTAAATAACCACTGTGAAAAAAATAGTGAATTTTCAAGCACTCTTGTAATTTCTCCCATTATAAAGGTACAGTAAAAATATGTGAGGTAACATCTCTGCCATATAAGCCTTCTGCTAACCTATTATTTTTACGGTACCTTTGTAATGTGAGAAATCACAAAACTGCTTGGAAATTGACTGTTTTTTTCACAGTGGTTATTTTGCATATTGTGATACCACCTGTTTGCTGTGAACTTATTGCATATAGTATTTATATTATTTGACTTGAGTTTCTTCATATATTTTTTACAGTTGGAACTGCCAATCTGTGGAATAGATGAAGAATTCTACCAGACCAATCCTGATGAAGCTTGTCCCAAATTTGCTTGCAGTATGTATGCCTCTAGTACTGTATTTGTGTAGTTTACACCTTCTCTTATTTATAATTTTATGAAGATAAATAAAAAAATATTATAAATTGGGCTGTGATAGTGTGAATGATGGTGAAAGCATTTCTTTTTCAGGCCACCCTCCCATGGTGGGAGACAGCCAGCATGTTTAAAAACAATAGGATAGACAAATTATTTCTGTTGGGAGCAGTGGTTGACTTAAGAATGAAAATATGCATTACTCAGTTCTACAAATATAGTCGATTTACAATGTATGTTTAAAGTTAATTGATTTTTTAATACACTGGCTGTCTCCCACCAAGGCAGGGTGGCCCAAAAAAGAAACACTTTCACCATCTTTCACATTATCACTGTCTTGCCAGAGGCATGCAGATTTTTCAGGTTAACTGAAATATGTAAAGAAAATTAAAAAGAGTATGCACATTTCAGCATTTTTTGACTGTTCAATCTGGTTAATCTCCCTGTCTCTATTTTCACATATTTGCTCTGTCTTCAGAACATTTTTGAGAGATTTGTTTCATTAAATCTTATTTACATATTTCATGTATCTATGTACTGCACATTAACCTTGTATCATAAATATGGCAGAATATTTGTTTTGCTTTATCTTAATATATTATCATAGTTCAGTTAAGGTAGTAGGTTGGTAGACAGCAACCATTCGGGGAGGTACTGCCGTCCTACCAAGTGAGTGTAAAAAGGAAGCCTGTATTTGTTTTATATGATAGTAGGATTGCTGGTGTCTTTTTTCTGTCTCATAAACATGAAAGATTGCAGGTAAGTCTTGCTACTTCTACTTACACTTAGCTCACACTACACATATATGTACATGTTTATGTATACACACTCATCTGAGTTTTCTTTGATTTTATCTTAATAGTTCTTGTTCTTAGTGCTTTTCATTTCATATCCATGGGGAAGTGGAATAAAAATCTTTCCTCTGTAAGCCATGCGTGTTGTAAAAGTCAACTAAAATGCTGGGAACATTGGGCTAGTAACCCCTCTTCCCATATAGCTTACTAAAATAAAAAAGAAGAAAACCATCAAAAAGTGGGAAGTCTGAATGTGCGTGGATGTTGTGCGAATGATAAGAAAGAGATGATTGTAGCTGTTATGAATGAGAAGAAGCTAGATGTCCTGGCTTTAAGTGAAACAAGGCTGAAGGGGGTGGGAGAGTTTCAGTGGGGAGAAATAAATGGGATTAGGTCAGGGGTTACAAATAGAGTTAGAGCTAAAGAAGGAGTAGCAATAATGTTGAAGGATAAGTTATGACAGGAAAAGAGGGAATATAAATTGTTTAAATTCAAGGATTATGTGGAGTAAAATAAGGGTTGGATGTGAAAAGTGACTTATAGTAAGCATTTATGCACCTGGAGAAGAGAGAAGTGTAGAGGAGAGAGAGAGATTTGGGAAATGTTGAGTGAGTGCATGGGGAGTTTTGAACCAAGAATGAGGGTACTTGTGGTTGGGGATTTTAGTGCTAATGTGGGTAAAAATGTGGAGGGAGTAGTAAGTAAATTTGAGGTGCCAGGGGTAAATGAAAATGGGGAGCCTTTAATTGAGCTCTGTGTAGAAAGAGGTTTGTTAATAAGTAATACATATTTTATGAAAAAGAGGATAAATAAGTATACAAGGTATGATATAGCACATAATGAGAGTAATTTGTTACATTATGTATTAGTGGATAAAAGGTTGATGTGTAGGCTTCAGGATGTACATGTTTATAGAGGGGTAACTGATATATTGGATCATTATTTAGTTGTAGCTACAGTTTTAGTAAAGGTAGATGGGACAAAAGGAAAATGACAACAAGAGAGAGGTGAAAGTGTATGAACTAGGGAGGAGGAAGTTAGGGTGAGATATAAGCAACTATTGGCAGAATGACGAGCTACTGCAAGTATGAGTAGTGGGGGGCTTGAAGAGGGTTGGAATAGTTTTAAAAATGCAGTATTAGAATGTGGGGCAGAAGTTTGTGGCTATAGGAGCATGAGTGCAGGAAGAAAGAGGAGTGATTGGTGGAATGATGAAGTAAAGGGTGTGATAAAAGAGAAAAAGGTAGCTTATGAGAGGTTTTTAAAAAGCAGAAGTGTTATAAGAAGAGCAGAGTATATGGAGAGTAAAAGAAAGGTGAAGAGAGTGGTGAGAGAGTGCAAAAGGAGAGCAGATGATAGAGTGGGAGAGGCACTATCAAGAAATTTTGATGAAAATAAGAAAAAATTTTGGAGTGAGAGAAACAAGTTAAGAAAGCCGAGGGAAAGTATGGATTTGTCAGTTAAAAACAGAGTAGGGGAATTAGTAGATGGGAAGCTGGAGGTATTGGGTAAATGGCGGGAATATTTTGAGGAACTTTTAAATGTCAGTGAAGTAAAGGAAACAGTAATTTCATGCACTGGCCAGGGAGGTATAACATCTTTTAGGAGTGAACAAGAGCAGGATGTGAGTGTGGGGGAGGTACGTGAGGCATTATGTAGAATGAAAGATGGTAAAGCAGCTGGAACTGATGGGATCATGACAGAAATGTTAAAAGCAGGGGGGGATATTGTGTTGGAGTGGTTGGTATTTTTCTTTAATAAATGTATGAAAGAGGGGAAGGTACCTAGGGATTGGCAGAGATCTTGTATTGTTCCTGTATGTAAAGGGAAGGGGGAAAAAAAGATATTAAAATTTATAGGGGAATGAGTTTACCGTGTATACCAGGAAAAATGTACAGTAGGGTTATTATTAAAAGAATTAGAGGTAAGACAGAGGGTAGGATTGCAGATGAGCAAGGACACTTTAGAGTGGGTAGGGGATGTGTAGATCAAGTGTTTACATTAAAGCATATATGTGAACAGTATTTAGATAGAGGGAGGAAAGTTTTCATTTCATTTATGGATTTAGAAAAGGCATATGATAGAGTGGATAGGGGAGCAATGTGGCAGACGTTGCAAGTATATGGAATAGGTAGTGAGTTACTAAATTCTGTAAAGAGTTTTTATGAGGATAGTGAGGCTCAGGTTAGGGTGTGTAGAAGAGAGGGAGAATACTTCCCGGTAAAAGTAGGTCTTAGACAGGGATGTGTAATGTCACCATAGTTGTTTAATATATTTATAGATGGGGTTGTGAAAGAAATAAATGCTAGGGTGTTGGGGAGAGGGGTAGGATTAAATTATGGGGAATCAAGTACAAAATGGGAGTTGACACAGTTACTTTTTGCTGATGATACTGTGTTGGAGTTTACCTGGAGAGAGTTCCGGGGGTCAACGCCCCCGCGGCCCGGTCTGTGACCAGGCCTCCTGGTGGATCAGAGCCTGATCAACCAGGCTGTTACTGCTGGCTGCACGCAAACCAACGTACGAGCCACAGCCCGTCTGGTCAGGAACCGACTTTAGGTGTTTGTCCAGTGCCAGCTTGAAGACTGCTAGGGGTCTGTTGATAATCCCCCTTATGTATGCTGGGAGGCAGTTGAACAGTCTCGGGCCCCTGACACTTATTGTATGGTCTCTTAACGTGCTAGTGACACCCCTGCTTTTCTTTGGGGGGATGTTGCATTGTCTTCCAAGTCTTTTGCTTTCGTAGTGAGTGATTTTCGTGTGCAAGTTCGGTACTAGTCCCTCTAGGATTTTCCAGGTGTATATAATCATATATCTCTCCCGCCTGCATTCCAGGGAATACAGGTTCAGGAACCTCAAGCGCTCCCAGTAATTGAGGTGTTTTATCTCCGTTATGTGCACCGTGAAGGTTCTCTGTACATTTTCTAGGTCAGCAATTTCACCTGCCTTGAAAGGTGCTGTTAATGTGCAGCAATATTCCAACCTAGATAGAACAAGTGACCTGAAGAGTGTCATCATGGGCTTGGCATCCCTAGTTTTGAAGGTTCTCATTATCCATCCTGTCATTTTTCTAGCAGATGCGATTGATACAATGTTATGGTCCTTGAAGGTGAGATCCTCCGACATGATCACTTCCAGGTCTTTGATGTTGGTGTTTCGCTCTATTTTGTGGCCAGAATTTGTTTTGTACTCTGATGAAGATTTAATTTCCTCGTGTTTACCATATCTGAGTAATTGACCACCACCAGGCCCGGTGGCCTGGTGGTGGCCCGGTGGCCTGGTGGCTAAAGCTCCCGCTTCACACACGGAGGGCCCAGGTTCGATTCCCGGCGGGTGGAAACATTTCGACACGTTTCCTTACACCTGTTGTCCTGTTCACCTAGCAGCAAATAGGTACCTGGGTGTTAGTCGACTGGTGTGGGTCGCATCCTGGGGGACAAGATTAAGGACCCCAATGGAAATAAGTTAGACAGTCCTCGATGACGCACTGACTTTCTTGGGTTATCCTGGGTGGCTAACCCTCCGGGGTTAAAAATCCGAACGAAATCTTATCTTATCTTATCTTATCTCATCGTTGAACTTCATATTGTTTTCTGCAGCCCACTGAAAGATTTGGTTGATGTCCGCCTGGAGCCTTGCAGTGTCTGCAATGGAAGACACTGTCATGCAGATTCGGGTGTCATCTGCAAAGGAAGACACGGTGCTGTGGCTGACATCCTTGTCTATGTCAGATATGAGGATGAGGAACAAGATGGGAGCAAGTACTGTGCCTTGTGGAACAGAGCTTTTCACCGTAGCTGCCTCGGACTTTACTCTGTTGACTACTACTCTCTGTGTTCTGTTAGTGAGGAAATTATAGATCCATCGACCAACTTTTCCTGTTATTCCTTTAGCACGCATTTTGTGCGCTATTGCGCCATGGTCACACTTGTCGAAGGCTTTTGCAAAGTCTGTATATATTATATCTGCATTCTTTTTGTCTTCTAGTGCATGTAGGACCTTGTCGTAGTGATCCAATAGTTGAGACAGACAGGAGCGACCTGTTCTAAACCCATGTTGCCCTGGGTTGTGTAACTGATGGGTTTCTAGATGGGTGGTGATCTTGCTTCTTAGGACCCTTTCAAAGATTTTTATGATACGGGATGTTAGTGCTATCGGTCTGTAGTTCT